ATTTTCTATCAGAGTTTGATATATATTATTCCAAGACCTCTTAGCTTTGAGGGTTTGGATTGAGAAATCAGCTGAGGTACATATTGTTTTCCCTGTACATGTAAACTGTTACTTTTATCTGGCAATATTTAAAAGTCTGTCCTTATTCTATATGTTAGACATTATCATAATACTGTGACTTAGTGTGGGTCTGCTGTTATTTTGTATATTTGGGGTCCTATAAGCCTCCTATATTTGATTTTCTATTTAATTCCTAAGGTTTGGAAAATTTTCTGATATTATTTCATTGAATAGATTGTGCATTCCTTTGGTTTGTATCTCCAAGCCTTAATCTATCCTGATAAACCCTATATTTGTTCTTTTCATGTTATTCCATATTTCTTGGAAGTTCTGTTCATGGTCTTATCTTTTCTCCATGGTCTACTCTATTTTAAAGATCATTATTTTGTCTCCATTATGTAAAACTTGGTCTTCCAAGTGGTGTAGTCTGTTCATGATGCTTTTCATTGAATTTTTAATTTGGTTTATTGTTTCATTTTGGGGAACTCTGCTTGATTTTTCAGAATCTCCTTATTAAAATGTTCTTTCACTTCCTCTGTGTTATTTCACTCCTTATGTCATCCTATACCTTGCAGATCAGTTTAATTATGAACATTCTAAACTATTCTCTGAGATTTCTTCCACCATGGTGGACTCTGTTATTGAAGTATCTTGGTTTTTGGAGGGTGATTTTTTCCCTTGCTTTTTCATGTTGTTTGTGTGTCTACCCATCTAAAATTATGACTCTAAGTCAGTATAGTTTCTACATTGTGGACTTATAGTGTCCTTGAAGGTTTCCAGTACATCACAGTTTAGTGGGAGACAAATTATAACACACAATACAAACAATATATAGCATTAAATCAAATAGTTTCTATTCTGACATCTACAATATTAATTGTCACAATAAATAGAAATCATGTGATCAGTTATTGCCCATAGTAATCAGGGTAAGTTTGCAAAAGATTTTATAATTTCAAATGATGGACAGGGAGAGAACAGACATGACTTAGGATGTGATAATTACGAGGAAGGAAGAGAGAACCTAGAAGTAAAAAATTAAAGGAACAGTGAAAGAGAGAACAATCAAAATTGGTTGTTAGGAGAAGAAAAGGGAGAAAGAGAATCAAGGGTAACAAATAAGTGAGACAAATAATATATAAAATTTAAAAAATAAAAATAAAAGAATACAAAATAAAATCAAAATATATTACTCATCCTAGTCCTGAAAAAACAGATTCATGAAAAAATCTGGCTTCAAAAATGCTAGAAATGAGAAAAAAATATGAATATGTATATGTGTGTCCATGAACCATTCAGGTCACAATTAAACAGAAAAGAAAAAAAGAATAAGTTTAAAATTAAGAAAAAAAAGATCTTAATGAAAATTTAAAGAATTTTTTCCACTGGAGTTTAAAAGATCCTCAGCTTCCCTACTCAGCAGTGTTACATGGGATGGGCTGCAGTGTGATATCTGCTCCACTATCAGATTGGGATTCCTGGAGTGTGAGAGGATATCCTGTAGGTAGAGCTTTTAGAGGTGGGGTTTAGGCTTTGGTAGGCTTCAGGTTCTTCATGGAATAGTGATTAGTCTGAAGATTTTAAATCAGCATTCTGGCAGGGCCCAGCAGCTATCAGTCCATACTGGAAGACTACACCCCAGAGATCTCCCCTAGGTTCTACTCATGTGGTGGAAGAGCCAATTTTTAGCCCCCTCCATCACCTGTGGACTCTATGTTTCCTTGTCTATCAGGCTCAGTCTTCAATTCTTCCACCCTTGTGAATTCCTGGCTATGCACATCTCTCTCAGCAAGTAATGCAAGTGGCAGGATTGAAGGGGAAGGGAGAAGCTGGGTGGATTTCCACAACCAGTATACCTGTGTGTAAACCTCTCTCCATTTTTTACTTTCTCCTGGTCACTTACATACACTCTATGTCATGCAGTATGGGTTTGCCAGGAACAAGTTCCCTCAGCTGCCAGCCCCTGCACAATGGCTGCAAAATCATTCCTTCCTCTGGCCTCCACAAGCAGGAGAGATACATCTTCTCCCCCACAGAAAAAAAAATTATGTAGCATGCCTTTCAATTTAGTTGGGCAATACCTTTGATCTCTGATCTCTCCATATCCAAACATGCCTCAAGCCTTCTAAAAATAAAATAATTCCCTTATCCCTCCAAGTTGCTCTTGGAGGGACATCTCTGGCTATTGCCTCCAATGTCACTACAACCCCAGCAATGGCACTGGGGATTTATATCTTATTTTATTATATCCAAACTTCTGAGTCCCTAACCTGTTTTGAATGTCCAATATTAAATCTCAGTAAAGCCCCCCCCCCCCCCTTTTTTTTTCACTCACCTTGCTGAGAAGCTGCCTATCTGTTTTCTTGATTTCACACCATGGAGCAGCCAGGAAAATGACCTCATGTATTCTGCCATCTTGAGAAACTTCTACATAAGGTTTTGGAGTTTTTCATACTATATATATATATATATATATGTGTGTGTGTGTGTGTGTGTGTGTGTGTGTGTGTGTATTTTATTAAAAAATATAAATATTTTATGAAAATAAATATATACATATATTTATTTTATGAAGTGTTGATTATGGTATTGACTATAGAAAATATTTAATACTATTGGAGAAAAGCTAAACCCAAGACTTAGTTAAAACAATTAACTTTTAATACACAGAGCACTATGAAGAAAAAGGCATCTCATTGAAATGATAGTATTAGCCAGTGAATCTGTACTTCACCCACAGGATGGAAAAATTGACTATAAAGCTGCTTTCACTATGAATCTGTCAAACAGAATAACCATTGGGAATTAGGGTCACCCAAGAAAATGGAAGGATCCTGCTAAGAGCTGTCTTGAAAGAATGAGCTCAGTGATAGACCATCACTGGATTCAATCTCCAGTATAACCAAAAATAAAACAAAATAAAATATAAGTAAAAAGACAAATATAATACAAAAGTGGGATAAACATACTAGTATATATTCTTATTAAATTCATATTTGTAAAGTTGGTATTAAATTTTGATCATTTGTCTTGTTCTGGTTGGTCTAGTGTAAGTTATAAATGTATGTAATATGGAAGCACGTACACAGTGAGGTAGGAATGGCCAGAACTGTACAAAACACAGGGAAAATTTATTCACCTGATATTCACATAATAACCAGGAAAACTGTATAAGTTTTGAGATGATGCCTTAGTCAAATCATAAGAAGAAAAAAATTTTCCTTAAAGTTCAAATATAAAAATATAAACCTTTGTCCAAACACATGTTGTAACAACATTGCAGGCATCTCTGAAGGGCTAAAATGATATACAAGATCACCAGTAACTGGGGATCTCTGTTCACTGGGCACCAAATTGCTTGATTCCTGTAAATATTTTGCTTTTAGGAAGGGTAGCTGGATGGACTGTGACCTCCTGAACTGTAGCCCAGAACAGTGAAACAATGATGGTAGAAAAGTGGTGAAATCCGGACAGAGTGTGCAGCTGAATTAACAGCAATGCTTTGATGTAAATTCTTAGCCTTATCACTATACTTTGTTTTATATGAATCATATAAAATATTAACATTAAGTGAATCTGGGTAAAGGGCACATGAGAACTTCCTACACTATCTTTTCAACTTTTCTATAAATCTTAGATTACTTGAAAATTAAAAGTTTACCAAAAAATGTGGGAAGGAGACTTAACTATGTACCAGTGCACACAAAAACAAACCTGAGCTGTAGTGATGTTCTGATAACAGCAACACAGATGAATACACAAGTGTCATTTCAAAAACAACCCATGGAGAAAAGAGGAAGTAGTGGTTGGGAAAAGGGCACGTGGGCCTCCTGAGTGCTGGCCATGTTTTACCTTCTTGACCTGAACTGGTGTTGCACACATGTCTTCATTTTTGGTAATTCATTGAACTGTACTTTTTATTACATACCCTTCAATCAAAGAAAGGATTAAAAATACTTTAGTATTACTGGCAAATACTTTCCCATTTCTGGTAAAGGTGAGGATGAACACAGAGTATAGAAATAAACGAGGTGTACAAGTGGGGGGGATCCTGTTTGGGCCCAGATACAACAGTCATTAGACTATAAGTCTAAAGTTTTTAAACCTGTAAGGACCTTGTAAATGACCAAATTTAGCCCTGGCAAATTCTTCATGGAGACAGGTTTGCAGGTGCTGCTGTGTTGGGACAGGCAGGGCGAGACATTGGTGTCTTAACAGAGCTCTCAGGAGATTCTGAAGCAACCACATATATGCCACTGAGACAGCTGGGAAGTGAAGTGATTTCAGAGCCAGAATATCCCAGAAATGCACAAGAACCATATCCTTGGCCTGGCTTTCTGTATAACTAAATCTCAAAGCCCACAGTAAAGACCTCTGAGATCTGAGACCCCTACTAGAAGTATCAGTAAGTTCCACCAACCTTAATAAGATTATCATAGACATGTTTTGTTATCATCATGAATTTTTTTTTACCCTAGAAATATCACTGTTTTTTTTCAATCTAATTTAGATTTCATTCTTCCAATATAGCATTATATTTTAACGTATTTGTTATTTATTAAGTAATGGCAGGTCATAGTTCATAAACTATTAAAATAGAAGGGCTACTAACCTATGTATTGAAGTTGAAAAATGAGAAAACTAATCAGTCAGAGATATTATAACTAGTCAAGAGTTTCTAGAATTCAATTCTCTTTTTTTCGGACTGATAAATTCAATGAATTTCTCCCCATAATTATTGTCTAATAAGAGGAACTTATATATACTAGTTTTGGGCTTGGATTCTTCCATTTATAGTTCTGTTAGTTGTGATTTTTCTGAAAATTTTTTCTATTGAAAACACTTCAAAAGTATGTGGGCAATCATGCACAACAAAAAAATCTTCATTGGATACTTAAAATAAATTAAGGTGCTTCTTATTAATGTAAGAGTAACTCATAGTATATTAAAGGTGAGTTTAATAACTTCTTTTAAGAAATAACAATTTTAGGTAGGAAATTGTGAGGAAAATTATCATCATAAAAGCCAAAGCCACATGATTCTTCCATAAACTCCAAGGTGAGAGATCGATGCCCTGGTTTGTCAAGAATTCTTCACCAGTACATCTGAAATTCAACACAAAAATATATGACTATATTCCTAACATCTTTCAAACTGTACTCAATATAGTTGCTATTCCTTTGTTAAAGAAGTTTATAGATCATCTAAATATTCAGTATTTGTCATTTCATAAGTAATAGCTAACAGTCATTGAGTACTTCAAATTTTGCTAGATATACTAATCAACCTGTGCCTGACAGCTTAGTTAATTCCTAAAACAATCTAAAGGAATATAAATATTATGCATATTTCAAAAAGGAGATGATGCAGGCTTAACTTACTTGGCCAAGTTTACAGATTCAAACTATGAACCAATTTCCTAGGCTTCTCAGATTCATCTGTTTTCAAATCTATAATGCTGTTCTCTTCAAAGGAAATACTGATCAAGTAAATTCATTTTCTCCTGGTGGGAAAACCTCAGTTTTGATGATGACAACTCTGTCCCCTGTTTATATGATCAAAGCTCCTTAAATTCTGTTTACATCACAAGATAGTCATCCAAAAAATAGGCTAAGAATTCTAAAACCAGAACTAGGGGGGACATGGGCTTGTGAACAGAATTCTGTTCTGTCAGCTCCCACACCAATACTATAATGAGCATTACAGATAGTCAGCAACGTGAAGATACCATCAGGTCTAGGATCAGGCTCAAACTTTAAGTAGCAGCTGGAGGAGAGCAGGATGGAGTGCCTCTGTCCCAGGTGAGAAAAGCACCTGGGCAGGGCCTACCAGTAGCCAATAATCCAGAGGTTCACAGACTATAAGCCCTTAGTAAACCATCAAAATAGTCTATTACAAATTCAAATGTTCTGAAAAAGAACTCATTTTTTTCACATTCAATAATATTTTACTGTTAAGAGAACAAGAGTTACACAACATGTTCACATACTTTAGTGCACAACAATTCACTTTACAAGTTAGAAAACTTAGGCTTAGAAAGTCTTATTGACCTTGAAAGGATCCTTACCAGCTCTAAGGCCAGGGACCTTTCCATATCATACTATTATAGTAAGCAAACCCAATGTGACACTGAATGCAAACTTACATCACATAATTGGAACAGCTACTGCTTTCTGTTGTATTGAGTTCTGGACAGTAGTTTCGTCCCCAAAATTCATTGTGTTGCAAAGCCTAAAACACAAGGAGGAGAAGGGCAAGATAAATAGTTTCAAGGGATTATCACAATTATGTCCTCAAGTTTAATGTTTATGATTATTTCTAAAAAATATTCTCTTTCTTGCCATGTCTTTGCCACAGCAAAGTACCTAATTTTCCCTGGAAATAAAGTAGACTAGGATTGAGATGCTGGTTCCCATTGGATAAGAAAGGAGAACTCTGGTCAGATTAGACTGTGGTTACTTCCTTCTTTCCCAATTTTATGCCTCAAACACTATAATTAAAACAATATAACAGTGAAATGGTTCTTTGATTGGGTTTGGAGTCTCTGATGGCTTCATAACTGTGGCATGCTTGGTGGCTAGGAAGTTTCTGTGCAAAGACACAGAATGCCTGGCTGCTAGGAAAATTTCTGTGCAAAGACATGGGATGCCTAGCTGCTGTAGCAATGCTCTGCATAAGGAGGATCTGTGCTAGAGTCTTATCAGCCTCAACCTTGACCTAAGGCTCACAGCTCCTGGGAATAAAAAAAAAAACCTCTCTTGTTAGACAACCACAATGTTTCACCAAGCTCTGCTGCACCTGAACCTGTCCACATAACAGTAAATTTAAACAATGGACTCTTTTGAGAGCTATACAAACCACTTAACATTACATATTGCAACTATAGCATGTAAGTGATGAATAAGCTGCATAATGTTACTTACTCTGTAAGCTGCCTAATGACAGAACGAGCAATAATGTACTACTGATGCCAATGATCTAATGTAACTTATTGATATAAATAAAGCTGACAGCTTGGCTATTCTGCTATTCTGCCTCTGCATCTTGTCTCTGTGTCTCTTTTTATTTTCCTTACATAATAGAGCTCAAAGAATATTGCTGATTTATAATAGCAATCTTCTCTTATTTATTTTCTTCCAATCCATTTTAATTATGATAGTAGAAAATGTAATCATTCTATATTGACACAGGTTATTTTGGAGTTGAATAGCTCATGAAAGACAATATGGTTTTGAGTATTATATGATTTTCATTCTGTTCTAGTTTTCCTTTTGATATAAACTATAAATTCTAGTCTCTCATCCTCTCATTTACTTCCTTATTTAACTAAACCACAACATGTTTATCATCAACTTTTATCTTCACATTTTACTATGAGATTTATCTATGACTTTCCTCTTCCTCAAACAATGTGGTGACTGGGGAAAACCCCATGTGACTCCAGGAACTTGTGCTAACTGAGGCTAACAGGAGAGTTTCATTCATCGCTCTTGAAAGGAGACTCCAAAATCACAGACATTCACAGCTCATGGCTGGGGAAATGAGCTGGTCAGGCTTTATTTTGCTTTTCTCATAGCTTGGAAACACATGTACTGTAACAGATGAAGACAACTTACCAAATAGCCATAGTGAGGGATACTGAAGTACTCAAGCCATGATAGCCAAGGTGGAAGAGGAGTGAAAGTCAGCAATATACCCAATAAACCCTATAAAAAGCAAAGACCATGAATCATAACCCAACTGGTGATTTTATGAAGAATTCTAGATAATACCCTTTTCAACTTTCAACTCTACAACTTTCCAAACATTTCTACTAGGATCAACTCTCTTCATATTCCTCCCAGTTACTCTAAAAATAATCTTCATCGTTTGAATGTGTATACACCTCTGTGTATCTAAGGTTGTTTATTATTTTAAAGGAAGGACCATTTCCTATAATCTGTATAATATATACTATTTGGATGATCTAAAATTATTAATACTATGTTCTCAACATTCTTTGTAACTGCACACAATGGAAGTTTAAGAAGTAGTCATTCCTTGATACCTGAGGGGGATTGGTTCCAGAACCTCAGTTCACAGATACCAAAATCTTCAGGTATTCAAATACCTTATTTTTAAATGGTGTAGTATTTGCATGTAAATCATGTACTTACTTTTTTACTTTAATATTACTTCCTATATATTTCAAATACTTTCCATATTCCTTAATGATACTATAACATAAATGCTATATAAGTAGTTGACAATACATATTTTATGGCATAATGACTAAAAAATGACATTAAGAATAATTTGAGGTTCAGAATGCAGGCTTCAGATTACTCAAAGCCTAGAACTGATAAACACAATAATATGATGAAGTACAGCAGAAAATATGGTCAATACTTCCATTTAAAGCTATCAGAAATCAATATTACAATAGAGATACTAGGAACGACTTCTCAAAACACAAGGAACAGCTATGAGGTTCACACAACACTTGTCCTAAATTGTACCAAGTACCATTTAGGTGGTACTTGGTACCACTAGGATAGCAACATAATTACAATGTTGTATGTCTGCCCACATTTAGATTTGACCTAACAAAGTGCTTCATATAACACATACCATCTCTGAGTAATATGTGGTTTCATGACTATGGTTTTAAGGTTCTACCAAGAACCTTTACATAATATTCAGTCAAAGCATCCAATAAATCAAACAATTCATCTGTATTTATTAAAGGATATTTTATTTATTAGATGAAATATAAACAAGACATCACTTTCTGAATGAGATACATTGTAGTTGACAAATTCAGAAATGAAAGATTTACACTTTGACAAGAACTTATGCTGATTATGTACCACTGAAAGACATCTATTGTAGCAGAGATGACAAGTGCATTAATTGTTTAAGCACTCCTATTTAGTCCATGTCATGGAACAAAAATGTGAGAACTATGTTGGGGATATAGCTCAGTGGGTAGGGTGTTTGCCTCATGTGCACAACACCCTGGGTTCAATCCCCAGCACCACACACACACAAAAAAAAAAAAAAACAAAAACAGGGGAACTTGTTCTGTTTATCTGTTAATTCATCTATGTGATTACAAACTTTAGGGCCATGTGAGATTAGAATTAAGTAACCATTATAAAGAAAAGATAAGCAGAAATACTTGATATAGAGATTCTTAGGAACACAAAAAGGGAATCACCTAGTACTGTGGACTTTGGAATTTTCCAGTATTCTTAAAACACTCCTTTTCAAAATACAGGACCCAGGTAAGACAACCCTCCCCATGCCACACACTATTACACTTCTCAAGGAGCTTCACATTCACCTTGGAGTTTTAATGCATCCAATGAAACTGTCTCCGCTGGTTAAACAGCTGGGAGTTCTCTAACTCCAGCACGAAAAGCAGGTAGAGAGTCTATTGTTCTCATTACTCTGGTTTCTAAAGTTCAAGGTCTTATTCAATACTATCAAGAAGTGTCTTTTAAAAGCTCATCACTAAAGACATATTCATATTCATACTAACGACATTAGAACACTAGCAAAATAAGCTTGGATAAAGTTGAGAAGGAAAGCTGGTAAATTCTCTAGAATATACCTCATCTAGGCCTCCTGGAAGCATCCAAATCCCATGTATAAAATACTCAAAGTAGGTTTTAAATGACAGGTAAAGGTACAAGGAAGAAAGAAGGGGAAATTTCCGTCTGAGAGAAGTACAGTTCATACTCACCAGCATTAACAGATAATAGGTACTTAAAACTGCTGCTATGAACAAACGTTGATATGAACCTATAGCCAATAGCAGGGAAGCAGTTGAATAGTACACCATCAAAACAGTAAGCACCGTGATTGAGAAAGCTTCTGCCTCCAGTTTCAATCCTTAGAAAGAAAAGAAGGGTTTAGCCCTGCTGCCTAGGTCAATATGTATTCAGGATCATTTACCATGCAAATAATGCTAATATTCAGAGAAATTAATACCTGAATGAAGAAAGTTACCCACATCCAACTACCATGGGCCAGCAATTTCAATTTTCACCTATATATAATTGCATGAAGTTACCACACAGATTTCTTTTGTACATTTACTTCCAAAGCACTTTTCCGTAGAGCACCTCTGTTTTTCTATGTGGAATTAGGATGAACTTCAGAACTACTTAGATGGAGAGGCACAGGCAACACAACTGGTCAAATTATACTGCCTTCTCCTATACTCAGACATCACCACATTGCTCACTATTTGCTGTCACTGCATTACTGAAGAAACAGGGATCAGGTTTCACAACTTCAGTGGTTTTAATGCCTGGGGGAAAGAAAGGACTCTCCATACCTAAGTCTCCCAGACAAACCATCACATGGCTCTGTGATAGAGAATGGAATAAGATGAGTATACTTTAAAAAGTGTACCAAGCAAACATTCATTATATAGTTTAAAGATTTGGAACAGCTATAAGAACACTGATCAGGAGTCTGGGGCCTAGATACCATGACCAATTCCTTATAACACACCTCTTATTTGTAAACTGGAAGTTTTTGGTTCTTATACTATAGTGTGTTATCATAAATAGATATTTCCAGTGTATGTGAGAAAGAGAGAAACATATAGAAATTCAGAAGCAATGACCCTGGGGTAAAGTCTGAGAACAATGCAACAATGATCTATTAAATCAATAAACCCCAAAGTAACCACCTTTCTCTCATTATTAAGGGTAGAGGGAAAGAAGACATGTGTACACAGATTCTTTACTTTTCTATATATCTCTGTAGACCTTATCAATAATGCATACCAATCTAAATTTTATCTGTATATAGTTACATGTTGAGAGACAAAGAGAAACAATATAGATAGATAGGCAATAACTATCACAGCTCCTCAGCATAGTGTTGAGGTTTTTATAAATTATTTCTATGTTTCTTCATGATACATGGCATCTTGGTAAAATGAAGTTTTGTAAATATTGAAAGTTCTGTTGAGTAGAGCATGGGGCATGTGTGTGCAATCCCAGTTATTCAGCGGACTGAGGCAAGATGATCTAAATTTTAAGACCAGTATGAGAAGCTTAGAAAGACCCTGATCAAGACAAAAAAAATTTAAAACAGCTGGGGATGTATCTCAGAGATAGAGCGTTTGTCTATCATCCATGAAGCCATTGGATTGACACCCAGCACTGCACCAAAATCAAAAACAAGAAGCTTCACTTGGGAAAGACTTGACAACAATACTCAACTGAATGGCTATTGTTGAGCATGCACAATGGATACACACTTCCCTAGTGGTGGGAAGTGTGTACTTCTAGTTGTAGGAACCATAAACATTCTGGCAAAAGAAATTGGTTTTAACACATAAGCAAAACTAAAGACACATTCTCTTTGTATTGTTACTTACCTATCAAGAAGTATGCTACACAAGTACATATAATTGGCAGCAAACTCCTGGGTAGTAAATCAGATACCAGTTTTCCAAAGAAGTAAGATGACACTTCATACCATCTACTAATAAGCTCTTGTCTACAAAACAAAAACACACACCACACATCCCAGATTAGTCCAAGGCACAACCCAGCTAAGATGCTACTGTCCAGATTCCTGCTGCCAACAGGTCTGCCACCAGCTGCCCACGGGCTCCAGGCTGACCCTCCCACCCTGCCCCCATCCCTTCTCCATTGCAGGTATAGCCTCCCTGGAGGTGGGACACAGAGTCTGCATCTCCTCACTCTTCTCAGATACCCTGCTTCTCCTCTCAGGCTGACTCCCTCTTAGTAGTACAAAAAGGGCTAATCTTAGCAATAACGGAAGATTTTCTTCACTCCAATTCTGACCCTGTAAAAGATGACACTGTTATTCTCCAAGGCCTCAAAGCAACTTATGATCCCTAAACTTTTTATACTTCTGCTTCTCTCATGTTAGAAAAAGAAAAGGACTTCTCCCTTCAACGATCACCAAGCAATACCCATCAGCTACCAAACCCTCATCTTTCTTCTTCCTGATGTCTCTCTCCTGTAATTCCAAACTCTTCCACCACTATCTTCATTCCTTCCCTTTCTGATAATTCCAGTCCTTGGCATATAAATATGGTAAAATATCTTCCATCTTTGAAAGCAGAAGAAACAACCCAGTCTGCTTTTTAGTGTAAGACTGCCCTCTTGATTTTTTCATTCCTTCATCCACTAAGGCCAACTGTACTCCCACCTCCAATTTATTGCTAATCCTACAACTTAACTCTCTACCAAGAACTTCAAACTTTTCTTGCAAGGGTCATGGTGGCCTGTTATTTCCAAAAAACCTAAAGATACTTTTCAGCTCTTTATTGCTGGCTTTCTCTGCAGCACTGAAAACTGATGACCACACCTAATTCTGAAACTTTGTTTTCCCTTGGTGACAGGCCCCACAAGCTCTTGATTTTCTATTTTACTCTTGACTGCTTGTTTTCAATTAATTGTGATAACCTGCATACATATTTCAAAAGCTCATGTTACACAATGATAAATACATACAATTTATATTTGTCAACTAAACAAACCAGGAATAAAAGAAAAATACTGGTAATCCTCTGGGTCACACCTTTGACCCAATTATAGATCCACTCCCAAAATAGAAACCTACTCACCTAAAGAGCTTCTCCAGTTCAACACTCTTTCCTCCTAACAGGCCGGCCAAACTCTGGAAGATAGTCAGTGTACAGAGTGCCCGGGCTCTGCCAGGACAGAAGAACAAACAAACAAACAAAATCCTCAGTCAATTCAAAGCTATTAGATCAGCTTTCAACTCACAGGATCTCCTTCCACAAATTATATAACATTTTTCTTTAAAGTAGAGTCTTTAGTATTTTGTTATGTCAGCCTGCGCTATCTGGTCACAGAAATACCATCACTTTGAATTCAATGTTTCTCTGTTTATATTTTAGGAATGAATGCTTGGCACCATTCCTTAAATATAAACAGAGAAACAGCAAACTTAATAAACTCCTCAGATGGTTAAAAATTTAATTAGCCAGTTTGATTTTGAAGTTGAGTGAAGAAGATGGTGAGACATGTGGAAGAAAAATGCCAGATGTTGGAAGAAACCCGCACTCCGTTCCTTCAGACACACAGACAGCACACACGTCAGCAAAGCCCTGACAGTCATCCTTGACCAGGACAGCCACCTTCCTACAAGGTCTTCAAAAATAAACCAAAGAGATATAATTTAAGAAGGAAAAAAAAAATTCTGTGTACCTTCTCAGTAAAAGAATGGTTTTTTTTTTGTTTTTTTTTTTTTTACAAAAAAGGGTTCAGTGAATTTATGCCTTTATAAAAATATAAATTTTATGATTATATACCAACCTCCTGGAAATAAGAACAAGCTTCTCTTCAAACCAACTTAACTGATATGAATGATTTTTAATTGAAACAATTTGAAAAAAAAGATAATGTACATCAATTAAGTGACATAAAAAACAAGAGAAAAAAAATAATTTAAATATAAATTCAAGTGAACAATTCCAGCTATCTTAAAGGAAAAACAGGAGTCCAGAGACACTCCACATATTTTCTTAATGCCTAAAGAATTATGAAATAATAGTACCTGTAAATGTGTAAACATGTAAATGTTAATATGATAATTAAAATAAATAGGAAACAGCCATGTCTAGTAGATAATCAACTACATAACTTTGAGTCCAAAAATATACTTATAAGATAAGTATATAAGTAAACTTATAAGATAATAACTTATCTTATAAGTAAACTTATAAGATAATTTGAGATGCATGGGATATAGCAAAGATTCAGTTCAATATAGCTAATGATATTATAGTGTTCATAATTCTGAGAAAAAAGACAATGAAATTCATTCAGATTCATAATATGATTTATTTTATATTACTTTTTATTATTACAGAACCAATTCATTCTAATTCTTTATAAGATAGTAACTCACATTTGTCATATCTAGTATTATCTAGATTGATTTAATTTTTAATTTCAAATAAATCAAAATATACTTGTGCATATATGGTACAAAGTAATGATATGATTAATAAATATGTTAAATAATGAAGTCAAGGTAATTCAGGTGATCTCCACCACCTCAAATATTTATCATTTTTCATGGTGAAAACATTTGAAATTTAATCCAAGCAATTTTGAAAGGAATATTATTATTTAGCATCTTCACAGCAATGAGGAATGTATCTCAAAAAAATAATAAAAAGTATGTGTCTCTTCAATCTGAGACTTTGTACCCTTTGATCATAATCTCCTCATTCTGCCCATCCCTCAGATTCTGGCAACCACAGTTTACTATTCTGTTCTATGCTTCTAAGAATTTAATTGTTCTAGAATGTATGTATGAGTGAGAATATATGTTATTTGTCTTTCTGAGTCTGGATTAATTTACTTTCCATAATATTCTCCACTTCCATCCATGTTGTCACAAATGACAAAATTTCATTTTTCAGAGCTGAACAGTATTCCATTATGTATACATACTACATTTTTTTCCCATTCATCTGCTGACAGGCACTTTGATTCCTTAACTTGACTATTGTGAATAGTGCTGCAATGAACATAAGACTGATGACACCTTTTTCACAAACTGATTTCAAATAATTTCCATAAATATCTAGAATTGGGATTAGTGGATGCAATCATTTTAAAATACATTTTCCAAATTTTCTTAGCCATAACTACAACCTTATAAAGCTATTAAATCAAAGATGCTCACATTCTACATAGGATTCAAAGCCAGTTCTTAGTTTTACAGATTAGAGAAAGTGCAAGGATAGTACTTGATCCCAAAGAAGAACAAAACCTTTGGCCTCCCTAGCAATTTCAAATGATAAAGGACTGATAGTCACTGCTGGAGAGTGCTTTAAGCACATAGTTTCCAAAATGATGCAAAACTACTGTTTTCTAATCAAAAGAATAAATCACTGATTACCCCAGGAGGGATTAGGTAAGCCACACACACAGGTTACTTTCACATAGCCAAATGCCCACAGAAAATGTTAACAAAGATAAGTCAAAAGGACGAATTAAAATAAGGTTGATGTCTAAATTCTTCAAAAATAATCCCAAGAAATTGACCAAGATACTTAGCATAAACAATGTTTTTTGGAACCGGGGGTTAAACCTAGGGGCACTTTACCACTCAGCTCCAGCCCCAGTCCTTATTTTCTATCTTGAGAGAGGATCTTGCTAAGCTGCTGAGGCTGTTCTGACTCCACCTCCCAAGTAGGTGGGATTATAGGCAGTACCTGGCTCTGACATAAACAATTTACAGGGAAAAAAAAATATATACACTGATATACAGTTTCAGAGGTTTCAGTCCACCCTTGGCTGACTCCTTTGGTTGGGGTTAAAGCAGAATATTATGGCAGAAGTGATGCTGGAGGAAAGCTGCTCAGCTCATTGCAGCCAGGAAGCAGAGAGAAAGAGAGAGGAGGAGGGGCCAGGGAAAAGATCAACCTTCCACCAGGGCATGCCCCCAGTGACCTGCTACCTCCAACTAGGTCCCACACCCACTAGTCTGCCTAACTATCAATTGATGAATCCACTGGGGAGAAATGTGCCTTCATGATTCTATCACTACGCGAAAGCCCCACCGCTGAACACTCCTGCATTGGGGAACCCTTCAACACATGAGAGTTTGGGGGACAGTGTAAATCTAAACAATGCTCATTCTTAGTTTAGAAAATAGCCAGCCTTCTCCATGTATCAAAATAGACTCAACATAAGCTTTTACAATCACCCTCCATAATAAAATGGGGATAAGACCATACAGCCCCTTTGGCTGTTTAGAGGTCACCTTAGGCTCTGGATGACAAGCAGCCATCCCATTAGGTAGCCATGTATGCTTCTCCATACATGAACTATGAGGAGAACCCTGGGTCTGGGATGTTGCTGAGCACCCATGTTCAGAACATGACACAGCCAGTTAAATCTCTCATCATGAGGAGAGATTAAAGGACACATTACAATTGAAACTACGCAACAATCACAACAAGTAATATGAGTGCTCCACACAACAGGAAAAACTGAGTCCTGTCCTCTTATCTGACACTCCTATGTTCCAAAAAAAACACCAAAATTCAAAGAAATTGACTCACTAGTAACAACAACAACAACAATCTTGATTACATCAAAATTAGAAATATTTATGTGTCAAACACACTACCAACAGAGTGAATAGATAACCCAAAAGACAGGAGAAACTCTTCACAAATTAAGTAACTGATAAAGGATCAGAAATCCATAAATATAAAGAACTCCAAGTCAACAATAATGAAAAAATAAAACAATTCAACTTTTGAAAACGCAAAAGACTTCACGAGATATACACCAAAAATCCAATAGATCTCTATTATTTACAAAAAGAAAAATGAACAAGTTCTGGTGGGGACGTGGAGGAACTGGAACCCCTGCCTGCTGCTGGAACAATGGAAAATGGTGCAGCTGCAGTGGAGAACAGCATGGCAGGTCTTGAAAATCTTAACAGAAAGTCCTTATGACCCAGCCATTCAATATACCCCATTGAGGTGAAAGCAGACACTCACAGAGATAATTCTACTAATCGCAGTATTACTCACAATAGCCAAAAAGGGGACAATGACACAGACTTTCATCAATGGATGCATAAACAATATAGTGGACAATTAGTTGTCCTTAAAAAACAAATTCCAACATATACTACAGTTTGGATGAACCTTGAGAACATTATGCTAAGGGAAATAAGCCAGTCATATGCAAAAAAATATCATATGACTGCAACAGAGAAAGTCAAAGATGGTTGCCAAGGGTTGGGAGAGGTGGGTATGGAGAGTTACTATTCAATGGTATGAAGATTGCATTTCAGAATATGAAAGAAAGGTCTGGAGGTGGATAGCAGTGATGGATGCTCAGTATAAATGTATGTGATGCCACTGAAATGTACATATAAAAATGGCTGAAAGGGTAAACTTCAGCTTGCATATAATTTACCACACATATACATACATGTGTAAAAAAGAATATTGACTCTTTCCTGAGTTTTGCACCATACTTATCATAAATCCAAATTCTTGAATGGATGTCTACAAGCTTAAATAAAGTAATGGCATTTTATCAAAATCAAGATCCAAATTGACCTACCTATGGTAGACGTCAGTACAATCATGTTTTAGTGCCAGGAAAAATGCACCTATGACCACTCCCAGAATGACTGCCACAGTTATCTTTTCAAAAAGAAAAATGAACATAAAAAAGGTAAGAATTTCAATTAGAGTTAAGATTTTTCATGTCATTTATTATTATATGACACATGGGTATATAATCATATCTCTCCATTTCAATAAACACTTTAATGGTGTGGCCAGAGTCCCTAGGAGAATATAAAGCAGTATATGTTATGAAAATGCTATCTAAATTAGATGGCAAATTAAGGTATCTTTTCTTCAGGGAATTGGCAGGACAACAAGTAGACTACTGGACAAGCTAAAATTACTCTCAGTGTCCACCAGGCACTGTCAGTTAAGGGTCCAGTTCAATTCAGGTACTGAACCCACAAATGCTACTAAAGTTAACAGACATGCAGGGATCTGGGGAAGTCATTTGGGAACAAATGAAACTCAATACTATAACAGTATTAAAATGTGAAATAATCTGTGAAGGACATTTATGGCATAAAGGAAAATAAAGTTTAAAAAAAAATGAAGAATGACCTGTAAAGAATAGTTTGAGAGGACCCTAATCTGGAAAGACTTCCAAATAAATGCTGATGGTTCTACCAATGTGCAATATAAACAGGTAAACAAGAGTCTTTACTTTCATACAGTATAACTTTTAAGAATATTCAATCTTTCAGTTTCAACACTCCATATTCTTAGTTTATTTTCATTCCAACTTATCATCTTATACTACCAATAAGTACAAGGATGTTTCCTATAGTTTTCAAAATTCTACAATTATCAGTCGGCTTTCAAACATTTAACAAAACAAAGAATTGCATGACAATATCATGCATAGTTTTATGAGGTTACACATATTATTCTGTCTTACATTAAAAAAAAAGAAAACTAAGCATTAGTAGTGATAATGGCCATATATATGAGCTTTGTGCATCTGGTTTGTTTTAAACACAAAGATGAAAAAGGAGTTCTTCCAAAATGTTACTTAGTCTTTGTTCAAATTTGTTGAACCAACATTTATCAAGGATGTGCTCTGAGGGATGTCTATAGCTTTAACTAAAAAAAAAAATCTATAGATGTTCAATATGTTAATAGAAACAATGATTCTCAGACAGATTGATAACAATGTCTTCCAAATTGATTTAATCAGGAAAACTTTAGCACAATGAATAAACTATAAATAATTCTATATAGATAATTCATTTATTCTAAGAACTTCCAAATACAACTGCTGGCTAGAGGTCAAGTCTGAATCGTGTAAATAACTAGTTTAAATCAAAACATAGCTATCAGATAACAGATAGGGTCTTATAAGAACAAAGCCATAAAACAAATCTGTCTTAATATTTTAACAAATCTATCTTCAAAACTTAGGCAAAAAGAACACTCCAGTTTAAGAATCCTAAACCACAAGGATCATTAAACTATGTTCCACAGGTCAAATGAGGCCAGCTACTGTTTTTTCTTCTGTTCACAAACTAATAACAGTTTTATAAAGTTAAAAAAAAATCATAAAAATAGTATGTCTTTTGATATAAGATTTATATGAAATTCAGGATCCATGAATCAAAGTTTTAGGAGAACATAGCCAGGTTCATTTTTTTATGTATGACCTAAGGCTGCTTTCACTGTAATGTGAGAGGTAACTACCTGAGACAAGGACTATATGGACCTGAAAAGCCTAAAATATTAACTATTTGGCGCTTCCCACAAAAGAGTTTGCCTCTTCCTACAAAAACATTCCAGCATTTACAAAATTGTTGAGATTTGTCCCACTAAGCTAAGGGATCTCTGAGAGTTCTCCCCTTATTCTAGAGACTACTATTCTCTGAATATTGCTGGACTTCCTTTTGCAGAACTGAGTTCACTGATGAGACCAGAAGGCTGAACACCAAGCCTGGAGGCACTGGGCTTCTGTTTGCATCTTAAGGACACCTAGGACCAAATGCACAATCCTGGTGTATTTGCAAGTAGCTATGTCCTAATCATACTCTGTCCAGAACTACTACTTTGAGAAGCAAGTAAGAAACATAATACATAAATCATATGAAAGAATGAATGGATTACATCACATTGTTCAAAAATACATAATGCAGGTTGATAGATCTAAGTCATCTGACATGCTTCCAAATGACATCAACTTTGCTCTGAAACAGTAAAACTTTACCCTTGATTGCTAGGACATAAAACTGTCCATGGTCTGAGAAAAATGACAGATCAAAAGCACAACAAACATTTGCAGAAATTGACAATTTGACTCAAATAGAGATGCAGGCAATAATTAAATATGAAAATTATGATGGTTAATGTTAAATAGTCAGTAATACTTCATTAGAGCCAACAAAGGCCATCTTTCAGTACTCAACTGAAACTCAATGATTGATAATGTGCATTTGGTCCTAGGCCTCCTTAAGATGCAGACAGAGGCCTAGTGTCTCCAGGCTTGGTGTTCAACCCCAAACAATCAGCTAAACTGATTTCCTTACAAATGACAGAAAATGAACTGGAAGTTAGAAAAGCTCTGTATGACACAGGGGTTAAAAACAACAGAAAAACCTTGAGAAGTGATAATCAACAATGACCACAGAGCTAGCCAAAGAAGAAAATTACATTATATCATCCTAGTTAAGAGGGATAACCTGACAGTGAGTAGCCTTGTTAAGTCTGGTTACCATCTGTGCATAAAATGCAAACCGTTTAAAATCTCTCAATAAGGAAGGTGAATTATAAGGAACAGCACTTTGCATACAGGATCCTCCACCAGACAGTGGGCAGCCCAGACAATGGTCAGCCTAGAAAACCCTCAACTGTATTCATTAACATCAAGTTCTCTCACTGCCTCATTTCAAGGGCAAAACAACCTTCTTGCCCCTACTGCCTTTTGTCTCCCGTCCCTCTTCACCCTCCATCGGTGCTTAAATTTTCTGTATAGACCTTTCTGCAATTTGATATATCAATTATCATGTCTCTACCCTCATAACAAATGAATTGCGAGAGAACAGAAATGTTTATTTTTACTCATTTGTGTACTGCTTTCTGAGTTCCCAAAATGCAACACATGATCTTGTGAATGACTCTGCAAATGAAAGTGGACAGCTATGCAATACCCATACATATCTGAGACACATTGTCTTTATTTTTTTTTTTGAGGAAAATTATTTTCTACTCAATATTACCAATTATAATTTGTCTAAATCAACAAAAATTCTGGGTGAGGTAATCCAAGAATCACTAAGAAACTTTCCCATAAGTAAAACTTGTGATTTTTTTGTTGTTGTTTTTATATTGGCCACGATTACATACCAAATGAAGCAAGGATAATAAGTGAATGGAAGAGAATAAACCAATTCCTGAAGTAGATCATATCAAAACCATGTTAATTCTGCAGGGGTATTTCACAGCATAATTAAAAGAGTCTCAGATCACCTGAAATATGTTTTCTTCAGGATCACTCAGCAAGTTCTTGAAAAAACGCCAGACAATCCATCTGAACTGATGATAAAAGGAGGTGATATATGTGGTCTCCTTAAAGGCTGAACTCCTCTTCTTCTGACCACCTGAGAGTTGGTCTAACTCAGCTTTTGTTTCTCTGTAGATGGAGGAGTTGAGGTAAAACTCAACTAATGTTTCTATGACTGGTATTTTCCCCTTGGAAAGCTCTTCAGTCTCGCTGACTTTCAAATAAAAACGAATAAAGAACAAAAACTCTACTATCAGACAACAAGTTATTTAATCCATTTTTCTATGACTCCTTTCTTCAATAACAATTTTATTTTAGAGCCTGAATATAAAAATTACTAGCTTTATTGCCACTTTTCACATTAGGAATACACAGGTAAATGAGCTGGCTACTACTATGATTGTAATTACAGATACAGCAAACTCACTGACCTTTTCCTCCCAACTTGGAACCTAACTATTAAAATAAATATCTTCATACATAGTTATAATGTTAATATAAAAATCTGGTCCTTTTATTCTACATGTTAATGCATAAAAAATTGTTTCTCATGTATAAGTACTATAACAATGAGCATATTTATTTTTAAATGGACCCCCCCATAAAATCAAAACTAGCATATAAATGCTCACTCATAAATAAAACAAACAAACAAACAAAAATCCATAGCACTCACAGGTAAGAAAGCCTATATGCTGACTGGTATCAGAACACAACATTAATGCAAATTCACAAAGCCCTGTTACAATATCTTTCCATATCACAAAACCTCAGCCAAATCGATTAAGCAAAAACTGTGAATCTGAGACTGATGTACCTTCACGCCCTTCTTCCTCTCTGTTTAATACCATAGCAGAAAATTCTCCATTAATAATCTCCAAAAAGAAGACTGCAGGGCTGCTGTACAGCTCACAGGGATAACCTGCAAAAGAAGGCACTCCAACAACTCAACCCAATGGTCTTCGAAAGTAAAGAGGACTCACACAGGGTGAGACAGGTGAGACTAGGGAAGGCAGAATTATCATCTTCTCCCTCATTTTCATACATACATACATATCCAACCAAATCTGGACTCTTTAGAACATATTACATTAGTTATTATCTACAATAAGTAGTAAAATTCAATAAGCTTTCTAAATTTCCTCGAATTTATCAGTACTCCTTCATAAGACTAAGGATAAGTCCAGGAAGGAAGTTTTGAAGGCCCAGATGCATTGTATTCTCTGAGTTGATCCAGGAAATACTGGAATGGCAGTACTAATGACAACAAGATAGCTTTTCCACCTATTAAATTCATATTTCAAATTTATCATCTGTCAATCTGTCATAATTCCAAAGAGGAACAAATCCTTCAGGGTAGCATTCTGGAAAGAAAATGACCAGTACAGTACACCTGAACTCTTTCCTCCACTTGTAGTGGCATAAATCATCTAAACTTTGCCTGTAGTCTGTTTCTTATCTCCTCTGGACTCCTCAGACCCATACATGCTTGAGTATTTTTTTAATTTTTCTTTTTAGAGAGAGAGTGAGAGATATTTTTTTTAAAGAGAGAGTGTGTGGAGAGAGAGAGAGAGAGAAAGAGAGAGAGAGAGAGAGAGAGAGAGAGAGAATTTTTTAAATATTTATTTTTTTTTTGGAGGCTGTTTATTCCCTTTTGGAATGGAAATGTCTACTCTGTTCCATTGTATATTAGAAACATGTAACTTACCTTTTATTATGTATATGGGCCCACAGCTAAAGTGTTACCATGGGTCTCACAGAATACTTTGGATTTAGAGTTTTGAGAAATGTAGGAATTGTTAAAGACTAGAGGAAATTGTAGGACTAAATGCATTTTGCATTATGAGATGGACATGAGCCTTTTGGGGTTGGGGCAGAATATTATGGTTTGGATATAAAGTATATACTTTAAGTACTTAAATACTAAAGAATTTAAGACTCGGTCTCCAATGTACAGAGATGGAGCTTTTAAGAAATTATTTGATTATGAGGGCTCTAACTTCCTCAGGAACCTAATTCATTTCATGGGATAATAATTAGAATAGATTACTTAGAAGTGGGACCTAATTTGAAAAAGTAGGTCACTGGGTTCATGCCCCGGAAGGATTTATTTTGTCCCTAACCCATTTCCTCTCCCCTCTCCACCTTTCCTCTCATTCTCTCCCTCCTCTTTCTCCCCTTCTACTTTTTCTTCTCTCTGTCTCTCTGTCTCTCCCTGTTTACTTCCCTCCCTCTTTTCCTTCCTCCCTCCCCCTCCCTCCCTCACTCCCTCCCCCCCTTCCCTCGACCACACCCTTACACCATTTTTCTGCCTCACCTCAGGCCCAAAGCAATGAAGCCAGTAGACTGTGGACTGAAACATCTGAAACTTGAAGCCAAAAACCATCATACTTTTTGTAATTAGTTTTTCTCAGATATGTGTTATAGGAATGAAGAGCTAACCCACACAGTCACTGGGAAGCAGTACAGCCACAGGACCAGTACAAACACTCTCACACACATATGCTGCAATATGAAGAAAATGTTTGGCAACAAAGTGACCCAGAATGTTTTAGAGTGGTGGAACCTGAGGTAAATTTATACAAAGATCAAACAGCACTCCCATCAACCCCTCTGTTCTCTCCCAGAATTCCAAGAATGAAGGATCTAGTGCATGAAAAAGTCAACCAAACCTGCTGATGTAAAGTACTCCAAAGCCTTCTGTGCAGGACCCTGGTACATTAGTTTTCCTGAGGCCAATAAGGTGAGGCTGTCAAAGAGCTTGAAGATGGAATACCGAGGGTGATTAATGGTAAAGATGATTGTTGGTCCCTGCTCAGAAATCCTAAGTCAAAAGAGGGAAGATAATGAATCATTACACATCTGAACCTTGCCTTTCCTAATAAAACAGTTTATTCTTACCACTAAAACGAGAGTTCACAGTTCAACTTCATTTTTTCTTATAGTCTTCTCACCTCATCTTATATTACCTACATGACACCTGGGGAATCTAAATTCAATGTTTTTTTTTCTATATTTTTTTTATTTGTAGTTGGGCACCATACCTTTATTTATGTATCTTTTGGGTTTTTTTTTTTTTTTAGTTGTTGATAGACCTTTATTTTTTAATACATGGAGCTGATGATTTATCCCAGTGTCTCATTTATGCCAGGGAAGTGTGCTATCGCTGAGCCACAGCCTCATTCCTAATTCAATGTTTTTATTAGTACTAAATTATTAGAAATTCACTTTAATATGCAATTAAAAAATTAAACATGTTATCATTCTTTATTATTTCAACAACACTGCAACTCAAAAAAAAATTCATGATGGGCTGGAGATATAGCTCATCAAAAGTGCTTTCCTAGCATATGTAAGACACTGGGTTTCATACCCAGATATGCAAAAAAAAATATCAAGATTTTTGTGCACCTTAGTAATTATTATGAAAAAGTAGTAATTATTATGGGCTTTGTATCTTTAATAATAACAACTAAGGGAATTTTTTATTTGCTTGTTTTGAAAGAATTGTTCCTATACATTATTAATATTCTTTGTGTTCTAAACAGAATTTAACTTGGCAGCATTTATAATCAGTTTTTTTTTTTTCCCTTGGAAGAGTTTTTCAGTGTTTATAAGTACCATAACAGCAATTAAAATACATAATCAAGATAAATAAAAAAGATGATTCTTACCAAGAAAAATAAAAAATAAAAACACTGGGCTTCTGAAAAGATGGTACATCCACAGTCTAGAATCTACTATAGGGCTTGTTAAAAATAAGATGCCTGGACAGTCCTCCTAGACACTGAATTAGAATTTCTGAGGATGATACAGGGAGTCCATATTATTAACAAGCTGTCCAGGCAACCTACAAATATAATCAAGTTTGAAAAGTAGTAATAGAGTAAATATTAAGACAATAGTCTGGGCTGGGGATGTGGCTCAAGCGGTAGGTAACACGCTTGCCTGGCATGCGCGGGGCTCGGGTTCGAGCCTCAGCATCATATAAAAACAGAATAAAGATGTTGTGTTCACTGAAAACTGAAAAATAAATACTAAAAAATTCTCTCTTTCTCTTCTCTCTCTCTTTAAAAAAAAAGACAATAGTCATACAAATAATTCTCATTGATGATTTGTCTTCTATCGCTTTAGGATGAGTTTTCCTTTTTTCTACCTTGATAAAACAATGAACATTTTGAAGTATGTACTATGAGACTGCTAAACGCTTTAGAAATTCCTTCATTTTAATTTTCACACTATTGTCATAAGGTAGTTTCAATATTATAATTTCATAACTTTTAACAGGAAAAGCTTAAAAGTTAAGTGAATGCCCACTAAGTCACAATTATGAAGAAGTAAGGCTATGATTCTATCTCTGGTTTAATTTGTGGTAGAAATAGTGTTAAAAGGCCATTTCACATGAGTTATTACTATGGATGCAAAAAATAAAGGTAAAAATGTTCAAAGTAGATATTTAAAATGTTTATGAGCCAGGTGTGATGGTATGTGACTGTAATCTCAGCTAGGCAGGAGGTTGAGGCAGGAAGACTTCAAGTCTGAAGTTAGCCTAAGCCACTTGGTGTACCTCTGTCCCAAAATAAGAAGTAAGAAGGTCACAGGATCAGTGGTAGAGCACACTGAGGTTCAATCCTGAGAGCAACAACAACAACAACAACAACAAAACTTTAGGAGACCCACTTCAATCTACAAATTTGATTAGTTCCTAGTATAGTTTAGTAGTGTGCCAACGGTGCGCTGCCCCAAAGAGATTTGGGCAAGAAGACCAAAAATTTCAATAGAATGTGGAATAGATATAGCTAAGGGTTCCTTGTAGAGGCTAACAACCTAGGCTAAAGATGATACAAGTGGAACATCAAAAGGACCAACAGGACTCAGCTAAGAAAAGGATACTCCTGGTCAAAGAAACTCAGTGTTACAAAGCAAGAGGTGTGTTTATATATATCTGAGAGACAGTGAGTTGGTATTAAATGAATAAGGTAACTAAAGAGACTACAAAAAGATAATGACAAGCCTAAGATTGGCCCTTCTCTCAGAAACTGCAACAGTAACCAGTAGATATCTTCAAGCTGGTAGACAACTAGAAGCAGGAAGCAGAATTGTATGAGAGCCCTGCTACTCAAAGTGTGATTGGATGGGCAGTGGCATTAGTATCAGTATCTCCTCTTAGAGTCCTCTAGGGAACATCCTGGGCTCCACCTCAGACTTAAAGAAACAGAATCTACATTTCAATCAGACCCCAAGTGATGACTGTGCATAGTAGGGCTTGATCTCTGCCAGAGGCAGGATGCTTGAATGCTACCCAGTAAAAAAAACATAAAGGAAATAGTTACAATATTCTGTATCAATTCATCATTGTCTAATGAACACTGTCAGCAGAGCTGTAGATAATAATAAATTTCCTGGGTATGTTCTATAAAGGAACCCGAACTCCAGGCCCATAACCTGGCATCTTCACTTATATGTATGTTGACATCTAGAGCATAAGATATTTAAACAAACAGCCATCTTTGCATCGTCCTGATTTTTCTCTCCTATCAGAAACTTTCTTACGAGTGCATGGCCATCAGAGAAAGCAAGGTAAGTACTAGGGGAAGCCATGAAGGTGGTGTGTCAGGCACCTTAAATTATGAAGTAGAGGGGTTTCCAGAGGTAGGAGACAAAGATATAGCCCAGAGCAAGTGGCAGACTGGTTGCATTAAACAATTAAATCATAGACAGACCAAGTAAGTGAATATATTAAAATAAAGGGAGTCACATCTCTCATGGTCTGAAGTGACTTGCAAAGGCTGAAAGGGAAAGAACTAAAAATGACACAGAGATATTGGACTGGAAATAAAAATAATAATATGAACTCATGGGTATCTAAATATATACTCTTATAAACAGCAATAATTACAGAAGTATGTTTACATTTTTTTTTATAATATACATACATATATACACAGAGAGAGACACAGAGAGAGAGAGAGAGAAAGAAAGAAAGAAGGACTGAAAATATTGCTGGGGTGTAGAGTAAGTGCTTAGCAAATATGAGGCCATGGGTAGGAACCCTGCCACACACACAATAAAAACCCCACTACACACATACACACACACACACACACACACACACACACACGTCTGTATACACACATATAAAATTCATCCAGGACCAATGTTTCCAAATAAAATAGAATATATTTCCATATTTTATATAAACACATACAGTAGGCCCACGTATGCCTACTGAAGATCTAAAAGCAATGCGACTCCAATAGCAGTGAGCACAATAGCAACCACATTTTGGTTTCTTAATATTAATTAAACCAGAACAAACCACATCCATCCACAAATAGCTAACTCAGGAAAAGTGCAACACAAACATGGAACATCACAGTGACTACAAAGTAAAGAAATGATGGAAGAATGATCAGGGAGAGGTCAAAAGAACACACAGACCATTGAAAAGCCATCCCCTAGTCAAATCAGGATCAATTTAATCATTAAAACAGTGAAGAAAAGCAGATTCCAACCCATTGCATCACACAGAAAATGAACAGGGGAAAAACTCTTCCTTAGATAAAATGTCAACAATTCCCTCTTAGGCAACTACCACAAGAACAGGAGTTATTAGCTTACGCTAAAATTGGTGGGTGAGACTTGAGGAGGAACACAAACTCGGTATAATAGGCAATTATCTTCCCAGAAAAAAAATACTAATCTACTCTAAAGAAGAAAAGTACTTTCCCAGCAGAGAAGCCCAGCAGACCCCAACATGATCAAATGACGGAAGTTCACACCACCTATGAGACTGGAATCTGCTCATGGAACATAGGGATGGACCCAGTAGAGGGTCACACCATGAAATCCACCAAGACTTGCAAGGGCGTGACGGACAGGAAAGGACTGTGGAACTCACACAGATTATCAAAACCAACCAAAACAGGAAAGCCAGAAAAGACAGGTTTCAGTGAAGAATCCCAAGGCACTGCAGGAAACAGACACTGCAGGGGAAGCTGGTGACATGTGACTAGAGTCTAAGCACTGGATGGTTGTGAAACCACCACTGTCAACTTCCTTACCTGAAGGCTGGTGTAGTGGAATGTCCTTGCCTCTTGGAATTTACACTGGGGAGAATTTACCAGAGATGGAGCATGAGGTCAGAAAAAAACTTACACAGGTGGAAGAAGAGGGGAGCAAATGCAGTAAAATGCAGTTAGGGAATCCAGGTGAGGGAACTGGGAATTTTTTTTTTTCTTTAAATTTTTCTTGGAACTTTCCTGTCAGTTTGAAATAATTTTTTATAATTTTAAAGAAGATGTTCAAAAATTAATCTTAAAAATTTCTCCTATTACATTCCTGCCAGTCTCCTTTCTTGATAGAAATGAATGACTTTTTTTCCCATTGTTCTACTTTTCCAGGCCCCCACTTAGGAGTCATAATAGGCCAAGTCCATTTCCTAAGCTGATCCAGTTGGTTCCACCTTCAAAAAAGACCCAGAACACATGCTTTTCTTACCACCTGACCACCAGCATCCTAGGACAGGGCCTACTTCTGCAGCTATTTCTTGGTGTCCTTCATTCACCTTGGCCTCATTGTGCAGTCAATGCCAACACTCTCAAAATGTCCCTGGACCTTAGCAGCACAAAATATGTTTCACAGGGGCCAATGAGGTCTATGTAATCTGTCCCAAGCCCAACTTTACTTTACATAATTTGTAATTGGCTGAATTGTGGCCTCTCCAAAACTGATATGTAAAAGTCCTAACACCCAGCACCTCAGAATGTGGCTACCTCTGGAGAGTCTTTAAAGAGGTCACTAAGATTTTAGAAGGTCATTAAGTGGTGACTCATCTGACTGTGTCTAATGAAGGATCCAAGAAGAAACAACTTGTAGACACCTTGATCTGAAATTCCAGCTTTTAGAGCTGGAAGAAAAGTAGTATCTGTTATTCAGCCCCCAGCCTGAGGTCTTGTTATAAGAGTCTAGCAGCCAACCTGCACTGGGTTGTGTCCCTCTGGCCTCTCTGATGCTCCACACACAACAATCATCAAGCATGCTGTGCCTCAGGGCCACTGGCTGCTCCTTCCAACCAGAACTCTCTGCTGACAGAAAAAGCAGGACTCACTCTGTCACAGGTCTCTTGTAACATACTTGTGGTCCTCCATGACTATCCTATTTTTTAAAACAATTCCTCACTCCCTTCATGGCCTTTCTTCCCCAAGTTGTTCATTCATTTTTCTTAATAACACTTTTTGTTTCTTGACTATTTCTCTTTAAGAAGAAAGGAAAGAATTTTGCTCTTCACTTCTGAATCCCTGGCCACCTGAACCTCTGGTACATAGAAGTGATCCAATTGTAAATAAATAAAACAACAATGTTCCTACAGTATTTACCTTTTCAGGAGCAAAAGTACAGTATTTGCTGTGCTTATATGTAAACCAGTTGTTGGTCGATCCAAGAACAAGACGGGAGGATCAGCAATCAGCTCCATTGCTATACTGGTCCTTTTTTTCTCTCCTCTAGATAAAACCTAAAACACAGATTATTACATTATCAACAAGAACCACTATGGTCACCACCATAGTGAATTAACTTCATTCGGTGGATTAACTTCAGTCCTATAAGATATACTTTCTCTATTACCCTCATTATTCTGAACAAGAAATAAATGGACACCTGAAAGAAGAAGGAGGTCTCTATTTGAAGAGATAAGTGCCTGGAGGCTAAGGGCAGAGGATCCAAGTGGCTGGACCTGATATGAAGCTCATACTTTTAACATTCTGTATATTCCTCACCAAGTCAAAAGTTTAAAGACAGTGAGTAACAAAACTAAAAGATATGGAACTGTCACAGTGAAACCACAGTCTAAAACAGGAGATAAAGCTAGGAGATGAAAAAGGAAAACACCTTAAGTATTCTATTAGTCTTCTAACAACAACCCCCCTTCCCCGCCACACACACACTTCATTACTTCTGACAAAAGTCCCTGAGTGGACTTATAAGAAAAGGGTACACTTGAAGCCAGGAGAGCTCTCGTTCTACTATAACACATAAGCACTTTTTAATTCCCATAAGATTTTCTAAATTGATACCATCTGCACCCTAACTCAATACAGAATTCCCAATTAATCATTTCAGATAAAAGCAGGAGGTGGGATAGTCCGCAGGTACCTGGTTCAAACTTTTCAACCAGTCAATATTATTGTGTGTGCTGAGAGGACTAGAATAGTTCTGGGGAGAAAGGCAGTAGGGAACAATTCTCAAATGAAGAGTCTCCAGGAGAAATAATCAAACGCAACTCATAGCCCTTGATTGGGAACTTTTAATAACTGAGCTTTAAAAAGACATCTGAAGACAATTTGGGAAATGTGGATGAATATGGTTTGACATAGGTGATGATATGAGGATATAATGTTACTCTTCATTTTGTTAGTTGGTAATGGCTTTGTGGTAAGGTAGGCAAACGTCCTTTTTTCCCAATGCATATAAGTATTCTGGGGTGAAATATCATACAAATTTGTATAAAATAGTTCCATAAGACAGAGTTATAATAATTATGAGAGATGTTAACAATTGAGAAATCAAGGTGAACAGTACTAGTAATTATATTAATTTCTATATAATTAACATAATAATAGATACATACTAAACATAATGTATAATATATAAATAATACAATGTACATATAATATATAACTATTATATTAATTACCCCAAATCACATCATTATAGTAATCTAATCAGACCATCTTCTCTAGATTTCTGTTATGTTCAAAATATCATAAAAACTAAAACTATATAAAATTATTTGATACTATTAGATTATATTAATTATAAGAAATCAAAAACAGCCTTTACATATGTTCCCCAGAAATCCAAGAAAGTAACTAAAGACAATGAGTGCTTAATGGTAAAGAACAGAGTTAAAAAAAAAAAAAAGTACCAAACTGGAATGAGAAGACCAAATAAATAAAGAGAGCCAAGGAAAATAAAATCAATACTCAGTAATAAAAAATAAGTAGCATTACAGGACTATTTTTCTAATTAAAACACTTCACATAAAGCCTATCAGCAATTATAATAGGAAGCAGCAGCCAATAGGATGCTCCACCCACATTCTTCATTTTTTTAGGAGGGAAGATCAGGGGCTTCATTCAAAGACACTACATTCTGAAAAACTTATTATCACATACAGCTCCAAATATCTGCTCAGCAAAACCTCCACGTGGAGCGGTAAACTGTAAAGTTCAATCATTCTCTCCATGATCCTGCAAACCCACAAAAGGTTGAGTTACTTAGTCCATTCTATTACTCTTGCCCACAAACGTACTTCTCAAACCTAAGAGCCTGGTAGGTGAGTCTGGAAATAAATATTGGCAGAAAAAAAAAATGGGAATGAGGAGAGGATGAGAAAAAAAAAAAAACTGCCAAAGATAAGCTATAGAAAAAATTAACAGCAACGCAAATTAGAAGTCAGTCCTACAGTGATCAAATATAATTCTGGAAGTCAAATTACAGACAAGTTATATATACAAAGAAATAATACCTGGAACTTGTCATTTATCAATTCCAGAAATATGCCTCAAAAAAGCCATGAAACAAAGGTCCCAGGAAGAAGAGAAAGAAAAGAGCAGTGAAAGTCAGGAAGAGAAAAACAGGAAGAAGAAAAGTTAGTGCAAAGATATCAAATGAGCCCTGACTACAGCAATGAGACCACACTCCACTCCAGGGATTCCACCATCTTTGAGATTGTTTCTCCAGCTTCATTTCCACCTTCACAATAGCTATGTAGTCATTTTCTCATCATTACGGAAAACAGCCACACATCATAAGAAACTTCTGATTAAGGTCACACTGTCCACACAGGGAGGTCCGCTTTCCTGGCTACAATTCTACCAGTTTTTTTCACATTACCTTGGAATTAGCCACTTCATTTAGATCTAAATCCTCAATGACTTTGTTGATCCTCTCATTTTTTTCATGATTTGTCATAGTTGTTGGAAGCCGAAGAGCTGCTGAGAACTGCAAATTTTCTCTCACTGTCAGGGTGTTCATCAAGACATTATTCTGAAAGAAAATACAATTTTCAAGAGACATACTGAGTCTTTTCTTAGACTATTCCTCTAGTATATGTAACTCAATAGATGAAAATAACAAACCCAAGGAAATGCTGTAGTTAATGCTGTGTTTTCAACTCTGCTAACTACAGAGACTCCATACACAGACAGATGCAGAACTCAGGGAGGAATTTCAACACCCATCTGAACATCCAAGTGGAGCATAGGGAATTATGATATGACTACTGGCAGACACATTCAAGTATGTTCTCAGGAAGGAAAAGAGGCAGGAAGGGCAAAAACAGATATCAGCAGACCCTTCTGAAAATGATACAAGTAGAATTGATATCCATGCCCTACAGAGGTCATATTCCAGGTTCTCTCTGCCTTTCCATTTAACTCCACCCTCTTTCTAATAGGAAATTATGAGAAGCAGATGTAAGAAAAGTTGATTCTATGAGTATGTCACATAATCAACTGGAAGCAAAATAAACTGCAAACCAAGGCACTTGCCTATATAGAAATACATGAAACCTAAAAGTAAACCAACTAATACTTACTTGAACCACATAACCTGAATGATATTTGAAATTGGCAGGTCGAGGTTCTCCATTGATCAAAACATCTCCAGATAATCCACTTGGGTCTTTCCTTGCAGCTAAAATGTTTAACAACCTACAAAAAGACAAACATGGTGAGTTTTTTTTTTTTTTTTTTTCCCTTCAATACAGGCCACCTCTCTCAGCTACTGTTAGTTCAAATTCTGTTCAAGCTATAAAATTAACTAATCAAGAGATATATGACTTAACTAAAACTTAGTACATGTGTGTTTGTGTGCTTCTGTGTGTGTGTGTGTATGTGTATGTGTGTTTACATTCAAATCCTCATCTTCCTTTTCATTTGTGCTATAAGAAAGCACAGAAATATAAAAGCAAGGCAAATTTGGCTTATCCTGCATAGACCTCCCAAAGGAACCTCCTGTCCATCTGACATTGGTGGATCCAACCCAGGAAATGTGCTCTTTTATCTAAATGTGTCTTCAATTATTCCTATGTTCCATCTCCCCACATTTAATATTATTCCCTTCTTATTCTTCCTCATTAGCTCATAATAGGTTCAACAGGTGTACTTCAACCACTTTATGATGCTGTATTAGTAAGACTGATAAAAGTTATTTCTAAAAGCACACTGAAACTACAAAAAGACAGCCGACTTATAATTTCTGTTATACTCACAAAGACTTGTTTTGACCTTTGGGTACCATAATGGCGTTGAGACCAGGTTTCATGATTCCACTGAAACACAAAAGCAAAAATGAGTAATTATTCCATTTTAAACAAAGTTCTATTAAATTAGGATCTATGTCAAATACATTTAAGGAAATTTCATGAAATTGCATCAGATTCTCATTAACATCTCTTAATTATTTTTTTTTAAAAAGAAGCAGGAAATTACTGAAAATAGGTATATTCTGACTGAACAGAACTTAGTTACATTCCTACCTGTAATTTTATGCTCACATAGTGTGTCAGTCATTTATATTAGACTTGCCCTTCCCCTTCCTTTCTTAATAGGAATAGGATGGATGTCCTGGGAGTAGGGCAACAGACACCAGCATCTGGGAATACAGGATGGGAAGCAGTGAGAAAGTAGAGGGGAAAAGTTGTAGGCTGTGAAGAAGCTTCTATGAGAAAATAAAAGAACTGAACAAATCAGTAATTACATTAAGACTATGAAGAGGCATTTTTTCACTGTTTTTAAATAGACTTTTTAAAAAATACATTTTTTAAACATGCAAAATGTGTGAAGAATCTACAGTGCTAGATTGGATTCGGTGCATTAATTAGAAGTAATAGGTTTTAATCTACACAATAGTTATAGAAGAGTATAGATGGAAGGGTGCTGAGGAACCATCTGCCATCCACCACTCCACTTACCCATCCTGGACAGAACCACAACCTCATGCACTTGCATAAGGGATTCAGTTTTATTTTTTTAAACAAAGTTATATATATATATTTGTGTTTGTGTGTGTACGCATGTTCATGCATACATATATTCTCTAGGCATGTCCACAGAGGTGGTTTAATTCTAATGACACATGAATAGCAATGAGCATTCTAAACACTCAGATGATGGTTTATAAATACCATTCTCCACAATTCCACAGAATGAACATCAGCTGATTCTGGCCTAGGATTAGTGCACAGTTTGGATTTTTTTTTTGTAATAGGATTAAACCTAGGGACTCATACATGATAAACAAGCACTCTATAATTGAGCTACAGCTTCAGCCTTTTAAAAATTTTACTTTGATACAGGGTCTTTCTAAATTGTCCAGTCTGGACTTGAATTGTGATTCTCCTGTTTTGGTGTCCTGAATAACTAGGATTACAGGTATATGCCTCAACATTAAAAGTGTTTGGAACTTCTAGCTATAACAAGAAAATACTCAAAGAATGAAAGAATAAGTCAAAACAGTGAAGGAGGAAGGGAACTCAAATAGAACGGTCTCCCACTGACTAAGTTCAGACCAACAGAAGTATCAAGATAAATAACAATAATACTACATTACCACTAAGTGTTATTGAAAGAGGAATCCTTGACTATTGTCAATAGAGTAAATTAAAGAGAAAATGGTAAACTGAAGCTTTTTCCTCTTAGTTTCATGCAAATTATGAGATAATGGAAATAAATCATCCTTTGGTAATTATCATATTTTCTTATCTAGACAGGAGTCATTAATGGGAGCTGAAGCTGGTGAGTTGGACTATAATAAGGAGCAAGATTCTTTATTAATGTCAGAGCACCACCCTTCACAATAGTAATGAAGTGCAAAGAGGAAAATGGTGACACTGTGGTGAAATTTGGCAGACAGATGCATGACCAGGTGATCAATTTTAACATCACCTGGAGTGGGATGGAATTAGAAGGTACCAGTCTGGATGAGCCTGAAGAAACATGATGTGGTGAGGAGCACAGTGATGGGCAGCCCTCAGAACCACTCCTGCCTTCATTCTGAGGATACCTGTCTCCTCAGCTGCTGCCAGACAACAAATGAGTGATTACACAGGAGAGGGTCCTTCTTTCTAGAAAGTAAGGCTGAAAGAGCTAGGGATAGAAAATCATCATGTGAACAGTCTGCTCTCAAATGATTCCCAAAATACACTAGTTAAAAATGGATGAAAAAGGAGACACAGTAGGGCCAGGCACAGTGGCATGCGCCTGTTATCCAAGTGGCTTGGGAGGTGGAAGCTGGAGGATGTCAAGTTCAAAGCCAGTTTCAGCAATTTAGTGAGGCACTAAGCAATTCAGTGAGACTCTGTCTCTAATAAAAAACAACATAAGACTAGGGATGTGGCTCAATGGTCAAGTGCCCCTGAGTTCAATCCCCAGTACCGCCCCCCCTCCAAGAAAGAGACACAGAGATGGGAGTAAACAGTGGAATGTAAACAGGTAAGGAGTCTAGTGAAAGGATTATGTTTTTGCAGGTTTATGTTTGAAATCATTTAAAAAATAATCATGAATCTGAAAATTTCCCAAAGAGAAGAATGAATTTTCCTCACCATTATATGAATATTCATAAATCTTCAGGAATGGATAATTTTTTCCCATAGATATTAAACATTGGTAAGGAAAAGTTCAAGCGCTGTGTATGAAGACAAACTAAGCTTAAGGGAAAGTTTTTCATGAGGTATGAAAATCTTTTCAATTCTCAAGGTCAAATTTGGTTTAACTTCTTCTTACAAAAGGAAAGCAAACAAGTATCCAAAGGAAAATCGAGATTCTCACCACATTTCTTGGAATATACTTACTGTTTTGAACGGTGACTTGTGCTATCAAATACAAATAAAAAATAATATGAGTAACTCTTCCTCCATCCCATACCCTACTAACCTGAAGTGAGCAGATAGGAGAAAGATCTGAAACACAACAACCAAAAATGGGTGTCCTTTCCCACAGATACTTACACCAGAAACACGAGAAACAACAGTCCCTGAAATTGTAAAAATTGAAAGAACTTCAAGATTTGACTGCACTTTTATTAGCCCAAGAGCACAAAACCATGATCCCTGTCCTTTGTTGAGAGGCACAACACTGAGCCTTAAGCACAACAAGAAGTCCTGAGCAGAGGTGACACTTAGGGTATCCCATCACTAGTCTACTTGGAGGAAAAGATAATCTAGAGGTGTTTGGGAGTGTGGCTCAGTGGCAGCAAGATGGCTCACTGTGCACAAGGCCAAGGGCTTGATTCCTAAAACCAAAGTGGGCAGGGGCAGGTAAATGTACCCTCACATGAAGAATGAACTTTATATGTATTTAGCCTACACATATTCAAATCAAATTACCTTTTACCTCTTTCAACACAAAATCTGAAAGTACCAACATTTTCTTGATTATCTCACAAAACTCTTGTCAGCTTTTCATAAGTCAATTCTATCTAATCATTAACAAAGGATAAAAGCTTTAGATCCACTATTCCTCTTCTTATTCACCTGGTCAGGATTTCTTAACCAACACAAGAGAGACAAGAAGCAGGCATGACAGCAGGTATTGCCAGAGAAGAGTTCCAATCCTGCACAGAGCCCCTGAGCTCAGCCCATGAACCCTCAGATCCTCACCATTTTTCTCTCAGGCACACCCCAATACTGTCTACCCAACCCTGTCACTTCCTTGTCTTTTGAAAGATGTTAGGCACTACTGACAATAAAGACCACAGATGCATACAAAATGTCAAGAAAACAGGTCAATCACCTGATTTTGTATAGAGCTACAACCATACCAGGACTCTTATAACCACTTCCCCAGCCTTGGAGAGTCAGAAAAAGTTGCTTGCTTACACTAGGAGTAGTTATTTCCTCTAGTAAAAGACAAAACAAAACAAAACAACAACAACAACAAAAAAGTGTTGCCAGGGCAAATCCAAATTCATTTCCCCTCATGATTATCTCACAAAACTCTTGTCAGCTTTTTATTAGTCAATTCTATCTAATCATTAGAGGGAAGCACAGTTATCTAGCAATCAGAGAAACATTAACAACCCTAATGGTGAGCATCTGTGAGCTCAGCATCTGTGAGCTCATATAGACACAAGCAGCGAGAGGTTCCAAACTCACTGCCACTTTAATAATTAAATGACACATTAATTGCACAGCCATAAAAACAAACAAAACATGATGCAGTTAATAAATTCTCTTCAAAGTTTAAACTACTTGATAACTGATCCAATCATATCAGTCCTTGTTTAGCCTAAAGGAAGGAAAGCATGCATCTATTTGTCTCTACAAAACTTGTACTCAAATGCTCACAGCAGTCTATTCGTAGTAAGCAAAGCCTATAGGTCAATAAAGTGAACTTTTAAAAAATTCATGCACATACCTGATATTTGATAGTATTTCTTTCTCAACTGTTCTATGTTGGAGCAGAGAGCCACTCTTCACTTGTACTCGATAGCAGATATTATGAAAACTCAACACAGCACCTTGGGTAATTGTCTCCTGGTCACCAGCGATCATCTCAGGGAGGTCATTGGTGTGTCTTTGTAGCATTGGGATAACAACCTGGTCACTACTGGAAGACATCTTCAGAGGTTTTGCCTTTCTGTGGAGGGAAAAGTAATAGTAAGTTGATATTCCATATAAATGAGATTGTAAACTCTAGATATCAATTCATTGAAAACAAGATGGTTTTAAACTGTGCTGCAGTGAGTAAATTCTTTTCCAATGAACAGCCTGCATCACTATAATAAGAATAACCTTAGAACCTAAAATGGGAGACAGATGAAACTTTAAATGCTTGAACTCAAATTAGATGTCAGATAAATTCCAATAAGCAAAATAGCTGAGTATGAAAATTACCTACAACTCATAAAGGAGAAAAAAGACAAGTGAGCCAGGTTATTGGCAGATGCACACCTGTAAACCCAGTGAATCTGAAGGCTGAGGCAGGAGGATTGCAATCTCAGAGGTCAACCTGGGCAACTTAGCAAGACCCTGTCTCAAAAGAAATATAAATGTACCTCAGTGGTACAGAACCCTTGGGTTCAATTCCCAGTACTTAAAAAAAAAAAAAAAGGTAAGGACTGCTCCTGACTTCAAAAAGCATATTATGATACAGCTTCAGTTCAGGGACAGCCTACATGAGCATCATAATATCCCCTGTACTTTTTTTAATGTTGGAAGTGTTCATAGTGTTGTTACCAAAAAGGGCTTAGACAAGCAGACAGGGATAGGAGAATTCTATGAATTTAGAGTCCAGACTTCACATATCTGGTTATTATGTACTTTCAGTCAAGTAAGAAGGTAAACTCCAATATTGTTTACAATGCAACAGATTTCATTACTAGGAAAACATTTAAATTCTAGGAAGATATCAAATTAAGTATAAAAATGATTAAGTTAATTAAACCAATAATTAAGCAAATCAAGACTTGAAAACAAAAACTGAAAAAAGAAATCAAAATTAAGAATTCAAGCCATAAGTGGTTGTGCATACCTACAGTCCTAGCTATATGATTAGGCTGAGGCAGGATCATCATGAATTCCAGGTAGCACTGGTAGTACAGTGAGACTCTGTCTCTTATAAGAAAAATAAGGGACTGTGGGGGTGTAGCATAGTGGTAGAGTGCATGTTTGAGACCATGGGTTTGACCCCAGTACAGGGGGAAAAAACATTAAGCATTCAATAGTTGAGTTTAGCTACAGTTTAAACAATGACAATGGAAGAGAATTAGTATAGTTTACTGAATTGAAGAGAATTAATAAACTTTAGTTTTCTGAATTGAAGAGAATTACATAAAAGAGGATAAGGAACACAGGGCATGATAGGAAGAGTCTGATCTACATGTAACTAGAGATGTGGGAGAAGAGGGAAAAATGAAGCAGCATCAGTCATTAAAGAAATACTGGCCATAGTTTGGAGGTTGAAGTACACGGACTGAATGTAAGGGCAAGACCACAATTTTAAAGTTTAATATGTTGGAGGCAACAGCAACTTCAGAATCCATATGAAAGATCTTTGTCATTCCCATCCCTTGACCTTCTCTCCTCTAATGATCTTGTCCTCCCTACTCTGCTTCACTATGCCTATTTCTGGTCCCCCTTGTCTATACAATATCACATCAGTACCACTATACAAACAGCTGGTAACTCTGGTCCCCTTTGTTTTCCAGTATAGTTATATTGATTAAAATTCCTTTACTGCTTTTTGACATTACTTTTTCTTCCAGTTTTTAGAGGCTAGTGGCTGGACCTAAGTTGCTGGGACTCCACCACATTGGACCTCTGGCCTAGGACTTCAGAAACAACACTTAAAGCAAGCAAAATTACAACTATGATATTTACAACTACGACAAGCCATTTCAAGAAGTACACTTAGAACATGCACTGTTGCATGCATTATGGAAACACTGAGAGGGCTCTTCCATTGCCAATCCTCAGTCTCCTCTGCATCCTTGTGTGACACACACGAAAGACACAGCCCTCAAAAGTAAATGCCAGGTAAAGCTTCTCTGAAGAGACACAATGTTATCCCCTTTATTGTCACTAAACTGTGTGACAGACCATTCTGTTTTCATTATGGCCTCCTTGGTGTAACTTTATTAAGTGCAGAGGGCCCTTGGGTCAGCCCATGTCCATTGTAATGTGCTCCCTCATGGCAGCTTTCTACTCTAGGTTATATATGATTTTGTAAACATCATATTTATGCTGACGTCAAATGTTTCAAGGATGCTTAATGACAATAAATGCAGAAACAGATTTTGCATGCTTGTGTAATTTAATACACCTTGTTTCAAAAAGAATGTGTTTCCTAAGAGAATTCCTGTATAATACCCAGGACCTGGAATAAAGATGCCCAGTATACATTTGTTACTATGAATCTATATATATATTTCTGAAAAAATAATCAACAATTACATTTCCATTATTAGGTAAGAAAATAAAACAAGGTACTATTATAGATACACACACAAGCTGATATATTTTCAACTTAATTTTTTTGGTCATATATTTGAACATTTTTAGCATTATTTTTATATGTATTATAAAAGGCTAGTTAATTTTTAAAGTTAATTATTAAAACTTAACCACTCACAGAAAAATTACAAAAGGAAATTCAATAATTCTTTAACAAACCACCCAAACTTGGAGTTAAACTTCATTTCCTGTAAATAAAAAAAAAGACCCAATATATTAGTCAATGCCTTTAAAATATGTATGTGAACAGAATTCTCCTACACCTTTAGGAACTCCTATGCTCAGTAAATTTATGTCCATTCAATATCAATTCCATTTATCTTCACACACGTGGAGACAGGTAAGGATTTTACCTTAACCAACCTGCAAAAACCCACTATAATCAACTGCTCCACCACATCATTTTCTGAAAATCCATTCTGAATCTTCAGTTTGTATTTCATAGTCATTTTCAAATGAAACTGCCAGGTTCTGCACATATAATAAGGACTTAAGACTCTCCACTTGAGCCTATGAATATCCAGTTGGCAAGTAAAAGAAAGATTAAAATCTTGGAATCTCTGGATCCATGTTACATCTGTCTCCTTTACTCTCAGCCACCTTGGATTCTGGAAATGACAGACCTGACCAATAAACCCCTTGTGATGAGTGGAAAAGACCCCCGCACATACCACACAAAACACACATACACATACAACTAGGAAATACCAGCTTTCTTATATCCAACAGGTTCCCACCAGACCAATTGTGAGAATGATCATTCATGCCATAGTCTGACAAAAGCTGCCTGACTATGGATACTTCTATCTAGTTCCCCTTGTCTTAATAATCTAGAAGTTCATATCAATGCCCCCAAATACAGGGTCTGGAAACACTGGTCTACTTCCCAGTATACCTATACTGATTAAACTTCCTTTCCGCTTTTCACCATTACTCTTTCATTTGATTTTGAGACAAGGGACAGAACTGATTTGCTAACTGCCCCCCACCCCACCCCCATTTCATCAGGCCTCTGGACTAGGACTGAACTCTGGTTAACAAAAACTCCCATCATCTCATTTGAGCAGCTTGCTTGCTATTTTTTAACAAATCACAATATAAACCAACTTTCCTGCCAAACAAATTTGCCCAAGTTGTGTGTGCTCAGAGGCAGGACAGTTAACAAGTCTTGACTCAAACATTGAGAGGAGTCAGCTGGATCTTTCAAACAGATCCAAAGAAACAGCTTCCTCTTAATATGATGCCAATCATTTTCTGCTGTGCTGTTGAATTCCTGAAGAGCTTTCCCCAAATACCCCTGGCTCCTTTCCAGGCTGCCTCCTTCCTGCAGTCTGGGACCACCATGAAAAATATGACCCCTTAAAATGAACAGCATAGAAATTCTGAGTGGGGAAATGAGACTGGCCCACCTCCCCTTAAAAGAGGGTCAAATGCTCCTCAGCAACAGGTACAAGTGAATAAACACAGAGACCCTTTCTTTTTTACAAGGAACCAGCCTAACACTTCCTCAGAGCCATGTCGCCCTCTGGCTCCCCAGACAGCCCCCCTACGTATTCACTTGGGGTTTTACCCACAAGCCAAGTCCAGCTGGGGGTTGCGGGGCTCCCCATCCCCCAGCGTTCTGGGGACTTGGTCTGTGCGGATCCTGGGCCACGCCCACAGCCACCACAGAGACCTTCACAGGACCCAGAGGTCCCCAGTGAATCTGCTGTCTTGGGGTCCGGCACTCACCACTGGAGGCGCCTGGGAAGGTGCGGGCGGCACCGCTCAGTCCTGCGGGTGGTGAGGAAGTGGCGTGGACGCGGCTTCGCCATACCAGGATCGGGCTTCAGGGCCGGGGCGCCTGCGGCTGCCTCCCAAGAGCTGGCTCCCCAAGGCCCAGACAGTAAAACGAAAGAGGAAGGGGTGGTGCCGCTACCAGGAAGCAGTAAGTAAGCATCAGCGGGCCCCAGAGCCCAGGTTCTGGGAGAGTGTCCCAAGATAAGAAGAGGGAGCCCTGCTGGTTGAAATAGCCCTCACAGGGAGGGAGGAAGGGGTGCTGTCATGCACCATACATGCTGCAGGGCGGACACTTGCTGTTGGCAACATGGAACACCTCCCTCTTCTTCACCAGTACTTCTCATTGACTGATGTACAGAACTTTTCCTGCAAGTTGGTGAGGAATACATCAAATTATTAGTTTAAACCTACTAATCCTTTTACATGTGGAACTTCAGTTTTACAGAGTTCCTGCTAATATTTGTCCTATTTTCTTTATTTTTTCCTTTGAGGCAATGAGGATCGAACTCAGGGCTTTGAGAATCCTAGGCAAGCTGTCTAGCTCTGAGCAACATTTTCAACCCTCTTTAAATTTTATTTTGAGATAGGAACTTTCTAAGTTGCCTACACTGGCCTAGAATTGCAATCCTACCTCAGCCTCCTGGCTAGTTGTGATCATTGGTAAGGGCCATGGTGGCCAGCTCAGTGTGTCCTTATTTTATGTCCACCAAAGACTTGTTAGAATACATTCTAGCACAGAGCAAGCAAGGAATTTATGTTTCCTGTGCAAAGTGACAGCTCCATTAAGGCCTGATACTTGAGCCAAAGACATCTTGGTTTTACTATCTACATCTGGTATAGTGACATGTTACAGCCATTTCATCTCCTTATTGGCCCATGGGTATCATGGGGAAAAAGTAGATTTCTAATGGCTTAAGTTTATATGTTATGCTTGTTTATCCTTTTGTTAATTAATTTTTAGAATTTGTGGTTTTAAAATGCTTCTTGATTATGTTATTTGTGGTTTGTTTTATATTTGGGGGAGATATGCTTAATTTTTTTTCTTTTTCTTTTATTCTTATTTTTGTTTGCTTGTTTTAAATTTAGAGCAACAGAAATTTATTGTCTTGAAGTTCTGGGACTAGAAGTCCAAAATTAAGGTGAAGGTAGGGTTATGTTCACTCTAAAACAGTAGGGATCCTTCCTTGCCTCCATGTCACTCCTGCTGATTGCTAGCAACTATTGGTCTCTTTGGTATGGAGCTGTATCACTCAAATTCTCTGTCTTCATGTAGAACTCTTCCTGTCTCTGTCTTCACTTGGTGCTCTCCTTGCCTCTCTGTCTTCAAGTGGACAAGCTATTATAAGAACACCTGTCCAGCTAATTTTTAATTTTATGGATATACTGTTTTTCTCTTCATGGCTTAGCATAGTATCACGTTTTGTAAATATTCCAGAGATACCTAAAGAAGAAACTAAGTGATCTCTTTTGATAGTAGAGACTGAATATCCCTTATTAGAAATACCTGAAACTAGAAGTGTTTCAGATTTTGGACTTTTTTAGATGTTGGTCTGTTTGCATACATATCCTGTGATATTCGGGGGATGTGACCCAAGTTCATATAATCTTTGCATGGATGTAATTTATACAATATTAATGTACAACATTTTAATAATTTCATGGATAAAACAAAATTATATTGTGTGGAAATTTCCACTTGTAGTATCATTCCTGCCCCTCAAAGACTTTCAGATTTTGGAACAATTTCAGATTTAGGGACGTGCATCTTGTATGAAGTTACATGTGTATATTGTATGTCACATATTCATTTCAAACCCTTCATATGTATAGGTAATTTTTGTCTATTTTCTCTGTCAGAGATTGAGATATGTAGGGTTAAGTTTCCAACTACGATGTAATTTTCCTATTGCTCTTCATATACAATCTGGTATTGTTTTATATATCTTAAAGCTCTGTTATTCCATATATAAAATTCATGATAATTAAATCATGTGTATGAACCATTTATCCATATTAAATAACTTTTTGTCAGATTCCATAGTCAACCTATTGAGTATAAGACCCCTTCACCCCTTTTTAAGAAGCATTTTCTTCTCATATATTTTCTCAAAATTCCATTTGTTTTTAACTTTACTTTGAGGGGACTTATACAATTTCTAAGGTGATTTTATTTTTTATTTTTAACCAATATTTGGAAATTCTGTCATCAGTAAGAGTTTAAATCATTTTCATTTATACTTTAGCCAAATTTCTATCATCTTAGTTCTTTCTTTTTTTATACTTTTACATAATTTTTATTAATTTCTTTTCTTAGATATTTTGCTTTGCTCTTTTATTCATGCGATGCAAACTTACACAGAGATATGAATTTATTTTTTATCGCCATTTCCCAAACAATATTAAGAATAAAATAGTATCTATTAACTATTTTGAAATAATGCACCATGTTTTAAAGGCAGCTTTTGGTAGTTTACATGCTGGTAGTTTGATGCTTTGTGTCTTATGTTTTGTTCTGGCTTAGTTTTTGGAAAATAGGATAATTAGGGGTTGGTACAGGATTGCAATAGCAGAAGAAAATATGTGCACATGGATACATATGTGTCCTTTAGGTGATGTATTGTAATATTCACTTTTCCTTTCTGGTCCTCACTTCAGGTTCTCTGTTCCATGTGGCAGCTGTGTCCTTCACAATTCATTTCATTTAGTGAGAGTGAATGCCACCTTCCAAGTCTTTTGAATATGCTGATTTCTCCATTGGTAATGAAAGAGGAGTGATGCAACTGACACATCCCAATTGCATTTTAAGGTGTTCAAATGCTTTCATATACATTTCTTTAGCTGGGCTTCACAAAACCCCTAGATAATATTATGCTAATTTTCTGGAAAATAGAAATCAAACCAAGGAGAGTTAATAGTTGTCCAAAATCCCAAGACACCAAGCCTCAGAATCATGAATCCCAGAGTCAGACAGGATGGAGCAAAGATGAAACACTGACTCAAATTTTCTGACACTAAATCCAGGGGTCCTTTACATTCCAGTTAAATAGAATTATGATGTAGCTGACTTCTGGAGTGTGTAGAATTGTCACTCAAATACAGCTGAGACAGCCCAGGATTTAGGGAAGGTGAGAAACTAAGTTCATGTTTGCGCATTAAAGTTGTTTCAATAATCATTGAAAGCTGAAAGGCTTTATTTCTCTGGCTGTCCAGCAGGGGGTGCTGTACAATCAAGGAGGTCTGTTGCTTAGCTTTTACTGAACAAAACCAATATAAAGTTTCCAAGAATTTCAAAAGTGAAAGTCAATATTGGGTTTTGAACACAACAGGAAAATAAAGGAGATACATTTTTAAATTAGTAGCTAAGATACCTATATTTACTTATTATGCATAACTATACCATTATTTAGAATTCAAATATTGTAAGTAATTGTTCAAAATTCCTAAAGATAAACTACAAACCCACAGGTGAGAAAATAGCAGAATGCTCTATATTAATCTATCCAAAGCACCTTCTACTTTCATATTAGTTGAAAGCAATTAACTTGTTTAGGTGTTTTAGGAAACTTCACTCCCTATACTTTCATGTCAGCTTTGTCCCATCAATTGGCTCAGAATCCACAGAAGGCCTCTGCAGACTGTATTATATCTGTGTCCGTCTCTATATTGGAACTGCTCAGACAGCTTGCTCCCAGGGGACATTATGAGCTCCTTTTCTGGAAGGATAAGTAGGCTCTTGTTAATCTTCATGTTCAATACCTGTTCCATGAATATGAATGTTAGAATTCTACACCCTTAACTAGGGTCCAATACAGTTCTAGGTATGGCAGGTCATGTAGCTCTAGAAGATGACTGTTCTTGTCCTACCAACTTTGATTTATAGAATAACAGGTGAGAGCATCTTACTAGGGTATCTGAAAATTATTCTTAATCCTCCTGATATATTACACAAGTGGCATGTGAGATATATATATATATATATATATATATAGATAGATATAGATATATAGATATATATAGATATAGATATATATAGATAGATAGATAGATAGATAGATAGATAGATATTGCTATTAACAAATGTGGGGTTTGGATGTCTTGGTTACCAAGAAAAGGATCTATGTGACCTGACAGAATAAGTTCAGCAGAGCTTAGAAGGTGATACTGCCCTCTGTGCCCTACCAGCAGCAACAATGTCAGGAGGACCACCTTGAGACTCATTGAGAGCTTGTTTTACTATACTTATATATCATGTTTTCACCCTCCATGAATCAGTTGATGCACTATGGTTGATACTGTATTTTGTCTATTTTGAAGAGTGCTGCAATAAACATGGGAGTGCAGAGATCTTTTGAATATGCTGATTTCATTTCTTTATACATTTTAGTGAGGTTGCTAGTGCATATGGTATTTCCACTTTTAGTTTGTTAGGGAATCTCCAGATAAAGTATAGTTATATAAAGTTTGAATTGGAGAGACAATATTTTTCTGGTTTAAAATCCCTATTTCTCAAATGTATATTTGTGATTTTAAATTTATATTGACACATAAGCATATTTGAAGGCTTGCTCTTGGTATTGTGTGTGTGTGTTCTTTGGTAAACATACCTCCAATGTCTAGTATATTAAGAAAGAATTATTATCCAAAGTACATGTATGAAGACACGAATTGGTGTGAATATATTTGTATACAACCAGAGATGTGAAAAATTGTACTCTATATGTGTAATAAGAATTGTAATGCATTCCACTGTTGCATATAAATTTTAAAAATCAATAAAACAAAATAAAGAATGCTTGTTCCTTTTTAGATTGTGACAGTAGCACCAGGGCACTGAAGCAGGGAAGGATAACACAAATGGAGCAAGAGAAAAACACCATGGACCAATTGGCATGGGAACACCTGTAGAACAGAAAGACAGTCTGAGCTTAGCTGATTTAGAGGTGGCACAGTGAGCAGTATGTGAAATGTTGTCCATGTTTCTCAACTTGTGAGCAGAAAGCTGAAGCAGGGAGCAGTCTTGTGGGGTTCATGCTGGATCATGCTGTAGGAAACCTGGGAGATCATAGCAAATAATGTCTCAGTGTGCCAGCTAGCACATACTATGTGGCCTGAATGTGATTAAAACAGAGATGATTGCATACAGGGGAATTCAGGTCAGGGATTCAGAGGGGAGTGAAACTCTCTTTCCCTTTATGGCTGGTGCTTGCACAACCATCTGGAGAGTGTTGGGAACTGAACAGGTGGACATGACTGCATTCAGGGATACTTGGATATTTATGGGTGGTAAAATTTACAAGACCTGCCTTTCCTCTTTCAACCAAGGAAATTGGTTAGCCCACAGTACGTGTTGAAATTTTGGGAAGCCCCTGAGGTTCA